AAGAGTAATTCTCAGAGCCGCCTTAGAAACAAACAACCCTAGTTTTCAAGAGGTATTAAACACCGGACCCGGAATTCTAGCAACGCTAGAATTCCTTTAGCAGATAAGGATAGCTACGCGGAAATAGCGCCTTAACGACCTTCCCGAGAGGGAATAAAATATCTATAATTCCGCTCCGTTCACTACCCTCTACCTTCTCTTCTCCTTTTACTTTCCTTCGTATTATTTTCTAGGCTTAGATCTAACCGTTCCTTGTATAACCTTGCCTTTATCCTGACCCTATACCCCTAGCTAGTTCTTTAGATAGAACCGTCTGTTATAGTCCTAGACTATATATAGACGTTAAACAAATCAATCAATCAATCAATTAATCCGAATCAATAAATCGAACTTAATCGGACGAAAAGAGATCCAATTAAGAATCGGCCAAGACTACTAGTAAAACAAAGCGAATAGCCAGCATATCTATCTAGCAGCACCGCACCTAGTGCACCGTCTTAGTACGGCCGCTAGCCTAGGTCTTCTCAACACTAACTCTAACTCTCTAAACTAAAAATTTTCAACCTAGAGGCCCGAGCGCCGGCTTAGCGAATGCAGTATAACTATACGACCTAGAAAGGAACCCTAGACGCCTAGGGGTCGGCGAAACTTAAGTCCGATATCCCCGGTCGCTCCGAAACCTATTCGAACCCAATTAGAAGTCCCGGCTAGAAGGGGCCGCCGCCGAATCAATTTAACCGGCATAACCCTCCGCTCGACAACTACCCAACCCGAACCAGAGCCCTATCGCATAGGGGAAGAATTAGAAGAGAATGCTACTATAACCTAGGAAGGCAGAATCCCCTCAACATCTCAGCCAAACCTAACCATTTAAGGACAGGGTGAACATTTAATCTCTAACAGCTAAGTCCTCGAAGCCATTACAGAAATCCTAGCAAAACAGCAAGAAGATAGAAACAACGCTAACCGCGAATACCAAGAGCTTGCTAAGCAAAACAAGGAACTAGCAAAACAGAATAAACAACTCTAAAATTAGGTAGTAGAGATAGCTAACAAGCTGAAAAGGCTTACCCAAATACATAAGAACCCAGCAACAGTTCCTAAAGGAAACCCTAACTAGGCGGCCGTAGCAGCGAACCTACCCGTAGCGCTAGCCCCCTTAGTATACAATATACAGTCCGGAAATAACCCTAGGATTATTAAAATCACAGCACCTCCTATGCTAGTAAGCTAATCAGGGACTAATAGAGGACTTACCTAGAACATGTCGATAGAGACGGCCAAAGCTCAGATCAGCAAAGCTATACAAGGAAAGGCCGCCACGAGAGACACCGAAGTCCTAGGAGTAGGTATAACCAAATAAGGATACCTTATACGCTTTAGAACCGAGAAAGATCGAGAGTAGGCTAGTAATCACGACGAGTGGACGAATATCCTAGGGAAGGGCGTAAAGATCAACCGCCCTAGGTTTGGAGTAGTGATATATAAAGTCCTAACCGAAGAAGTTGACATGAGCAAAAAGGAAGAAGCAATTGGAAAAATTAGGGGAGAAAATAGCTATACTCAGCCTACCTAACAAATCGAAGACATCGCCTAGATAAAGAAAAAGGACGTTCCTATAGGAAAACACGCTTCCCTAGGCATCTAGTTTAGCAGCGAAGACGCAGCACGTTACGCGATTCAAAACGGCCTTGTATTCGGGCCTAACTTCGTAAACCGCGCCGAGTACTACAGCCTAGAAAGAAAGAAGTGCCACCGCTGCCAAAAACTCGGCCACCTAGCTTAGAACTACCGAGAAGAAGGAAATAACCCTAACCCACTACAACCTAGAATCTAATACCAGACACACTTCGGATCCTACAGTTAAACATATAGAAATCAAGGGCTTATATAGAAGCCCTAATAAACGACCTAGAAATAGAACAACTCGATATTCTCCTCATTTAAGAACCACTAGTATCCTTCTTTAAAACATTTGTCCAATACAGAGCCTGGCAACTCTACATCCCAACCGACATAAAAGGAAAAAGAAAACGGACCGCAATCTATATAAATAAACGGATCTTACCCGCAGCACAACAGCAAGTCTACTACGATAGCCCAGACATTACGGCAATCAAGGTACTCACGCTAGCTAGGGAAGTCCTTGTATTTTTAGTATACATACCTCTAATCGGCGGAACGCGCCACGCAGCAGAATAAGAAATACAAGCTGCGCTAAGAGTAATCCAGCAAATAGTTAAAACAATACCCCAACGAGGCATCATTATAGGCGGGGACTTTAATAGGCAAGATCTACTCTAGGGCGGAGACCAAATAAAACCGCATTTAGTAGGAGACGCCGCGTCTCTAGTACTCTTTATGCAGGACTATAAGCTCGAAAGCCACCTCCGCCGCGGTACGCCAACATGCTGGGCAGTAAACAAGCAAGGTAGCAAAACAACAATAGACCTAACCTTAAGCAACCTCTAGCAGCACCTTCTCAAATGCGAACTTTTCCCTCAAAGCTACGGATCGGACCACCGCCCCATCTACTCGGAATAGAGCCTAAAAATAGAGTCTAAAGCAGAGAGAACTCCAAAAAGGATGTATAAACGAACAGACTAGTCGAAAGTAGGGAAAACCATCCAGGACGCCCTAGTAATACTAGAACACATCTATACCCGCGAGGAGCTCGATATAGCCGTAGACCAACTAATTACCACTACAACTCAGATAATAACCGAGCTAACCCCTACAGCAAAGCCGTGCCAATACTCGAAACAGTAGTTTAATCCTAAACTTAAAGAACAACAAGTAGAATATAACAAACTACGAAGGTTTTAGCAAGCATGCTGCGCCGCGAGAGGTAGAGACGACCCTTTCACCCAGAGTCAGTTCGCAGCAATGCAAAAGAGTCGTCGGGAATAGGTGAGAGCAATT